ATGGCAAGGATAGCATTGTCAAGAATGGAGATGAGGGGGAGTGCTAAAGAGCAGGTTTGGGGAGGAAAAGTAAGAACTCAGTTTTGAACACAGTCAAAACTGCACGAATACTTTTTTTAAGTATAATTCATTTTGTAAATGTAACTGTGAGCATTAGGAAATCATAGTACGGTGACTTATTTCCAATGTGCATGTTGTGTTAGCTGCTTTAGCAGCTGGAGTTAATATTTTTTTTTTCTTTTTGACACAGGGTTTTGCTCTGTCACCCAGGCTGGTGTACAGTGGTGCAATTACAACTCACTGCAACCTCCACCTCCCAGGCTCCAGTGATCCTTTCCACCTTAACCTCCTGAGTAGCTAGGATTGCAGGCACACACCACCGCACCTGACCAATGTTTGTATGTATACATGTGTGTATATATATAGAGAGAGACAGCACTTCACTGTGTTGCCTGGACTGGTCTTGAACTCCTGAGCTCAAGCTATCCTCCTGCCTCAGTTTCCCAAAGTGCTGGGATTACAGATATGAGCCACCATGATCGGCCTAACATCTTTTAATACTGGTTATTTCTTACTCCTGTGAACTTCTCACTTTCCCTGAGAATAATTTTACCACCTCTTTGTTGGGTAGAGGTACAATAAGAAAATCAGAAAGAGCGAGTACACGATAACAGAGAAGTCAGTCTTCTTTTCTTGCTCTCTTGGGCATCCAAAAGAGCACATGATCCAGAGATGGAAGTCTGGGAAGGCCATGCTGTGTGAGAACAGGGGCTTGCATGAGAACAGAGGCTTGGGCTTGAGCCCGAGCCCCCAGGGTCTGCAGCCAAGTCTCACAGCTTGGCAGTTACCCATGACTTTCTCTCACAAGTCAGCTGCTGTGTTTTGCCCCAAACTATTCTCTTCTGCGATATAAACTGCTTTGAGGCTGAGGAGGAAATTAGTCTTCTTGTCCCAGATGTCATTACTTGTCACCTTCTCTGAAGCAATGCCATTCATGATGTGGATCTTGGCCTCAACCTCTGAGAAGTTCTCCTTTCTGCATTCCTCACCTTAAATTACTTAACCTGAAAATATACTGTTTAAATCTTATACTGCAGCTCCATATACTCTGCTTAACTGCAGAAAGAGTCAGTCTACGTAAATTAATTTTCCAGATAACTGAAGCCTAGCCGTCTTTTGATGCCAACCACGAGGACGAGAATTTTTCTGAGGGTGAATTGCAATGCAGGTATCCTTGCTTTCTTAACTAGGATACATGAAACAGAATTCAGCTTTTCTGCCATTAGTCTGTCCTCTGACAAAGTAACGATGTCCTCAAGCTCTACTGAGGTATATAGAGTCTGTGCCTCAGATTGCTCCACTTTTTGAGCCTTGTTTCCTTTGTTAAAAGTTTTTGAAGTTTTGCTGCATTATCCCTGGTGTCAGTTATGGCTAGTTACTGCTCATTTAACATTTTGTTGACTGGAAAACAATGTAACTAGAATTATGTGCAAATGTTCTGTATGGGAACACCATTTTAGTACTTGAGGACCTCTGTGGTCTTTTTAAGGTTTAATTTATTTTTATGGTTCTAGACATCCCTCCAAATGAGTATGATCTATTGAGCATGCACACAGTGGAACTTTTCTGGGGGACACTTCATGAACCGTGTTTAACTTATCTGACTCCCAGCTTGCCTCCTAGGAGTTGATATATGATCTCCAGAAATGTGAGATAGCAATATGGCAGGCAGGATTCTAAGATGGCCTGTGTAAGCTCCTCCTCTTAAGTCTGGGAGGGACCTGTATGATGGGGTGCCTCTCCAATTATTAGCTTACTTTGTAAGAAAGAGATAAACATTTTTGCAGATACAATTAAAATCCTTAATCTGTTGACTTTAAGTTCAATCATAAGGGACATTGACCACAGTGGACCTGATTTAATCAGAAAAGCCCTTTAACAGAGGGTCTAGAGTTTAAAGATTTCTCCCTGGTGGCCTTAAAGAGGCAAGCTGCCATGAGTTCTATAGCAGCAAGGAAATTAATACAGCTGCCAACCACTTGAGATTGGAAGAGGACCCTGAGCCTCAGAGGAGACTGTAGCCCTAACTAAAACCTGATTCCACCCATGTAAACTTAGCATGATTTTATTTCTGAAAAATATTATCATGTGAAGGGCATCCTTAGTTTTCTGCTGTGATACAGATTTTCTTCTGTTTTTTAAAATTTTTATTTTCTTTTTTTTTAGATAAAGTTTCACTCTGTCACCCAGGCTGGACTGCAGCGGCTCGATCTCAGCCGTTTTAAGGGAAACCTGATATGCACTGAGAAAGAGAATTAGATAGGCTGGGTGCAGTGGCTCATGCTTAATCCTAGTGCCCGAGATTGTGCCCCTGCACTCCGGCCTAGGCAACAGAAGAAGACTCTATGTCAAATAAAAAAAAAAGAGAGAAAGAGAATTAGATGCCATTCTCTAGTGTATGTGTGTGTGTGTTTTACAGAAGTCTGGTCAATCTGCATTGAGGGTGTCTGCAGGACACCTAGAGAGAAACATCAAGAAAATTGATATTTAAATATATGGATCTGAGACTCAGAAGAGATCTAAGTTAAAAATGTAAATTTAGGAGACACCAGCATGTAGTGGAAATCAAATCATGGAAATGGGAGGGACTGCTTGAGAAGCAGGAGTTCCAAATCTTGCAGATCATCAGGACATACAGGTCCCTCAATTCCACTCCCAGAGATTCTAATTTACCATGGCTATGGTGCTGTCCAAGAATTTATACTTTCTCTTTAGAGCTTCCACTGAAGGCCTGGTATGGTGACTCATGCTCACAATCCCCACTTTGGGAGGCCAAGGCAGGAGGATTGCTTGAGGCCAGGAGTTCAAGAGCAGCTTGGGCAACATAGTGAGATCCTGTCTCTACAAAAGAAAATTGAAAAGGTTAGCCAGGTATGGTGGCACATGAATGTAGTCCTACTACTGAGGAAGTTGAGGTGGGAGAATTGTTTGAGCCCAGGGCTTTGAGGTTACGACGAGCTATAATCGCACCACTACACTCCATCCTGGGTGAGAGAGCCAGACTCTGTCTCTAAATAATAAATAAATAAAGCTTCCATTGAAATATTTCTAAAATTGAGTCTTAAGTGGAAAACTCATAGGACAATGCTCCCAGTATGGCACTATCTATGAAAGAATTTGTGTGTCTATGAATATGTCTGTGTTTGTGGGGATGGGAGCAGAGACAGCGCTGAAAAACTGATGCTGAAGTCATTGTGAGGAAAGGGTGGGAACGATGACAAGAAACATGCACAAAGTGAGGAGACACGACAGTCAGACACCAATGCACATGATTGTGGAATGTTCTTGCTCTGAAACCTGAGTGTAGACATGGAGATGGGTGGCTGGGTCAATAGAGTTGGGTGAAGCAAAGGACAACAGTAGGGCACCAAGGGCCAGACAAATCTGCTGCTCTGTGACTGTAGCCCCATCGTTTTGACTTTCTGCTCTCCTAAATTGTTCCCAATCCAGTTGTTCTTGACCTCAAGGTCTCCAGTCCCTTACAACCACCTAACCCTGAACCTGGAATCCAAGGGCTGCACTCAGTCACCTTCTTGCTAGTAGCCCTCAGGAAATTCAGTAACTCAGTTTATTCTACTTTATATGGCCCCTTTGTCCTACCCAGACCTTGTTTAATGAAGAGCTTGTTGCCCTAATAGCCAGGAGTGTTGTGAGCACACAGACTTTCCCTGCCAGGCCCTCAGGGGATTGCCTCTGCTGCACAGGGCTGCCCCATGCACCCCCTGCCCCGAGGTCACACCCCTTCCCAGGCAGCCTCCGAGCAGTAACTGATAAAAGCAGAATACAAAGGCCTGGCCCTCTCTGCTCTGCTTGAGACGACTCTCTGCAGGGTCAGCTGAGGCTGTCCTTGGGCCTGCATCCTAGCTCACTGCTTACCTCTACGTTTCCTGTTTCTTCCCCTCCCTCCCTCAGGTGTTGATCCCCAAGGGATCAAGATAAACTTTGACTCTGGAGTCCGTTTCCCAGGAAACCCAAGTTGCAGCAGCCTGGCAAGAAACAAGAGCTGGAATGTCATGTTAAAGAAGTCTTATTAGTTCTCACCTTTTCCAGAGACCCTCAAGTATTTCAGAGAAGTGTCAGGCTCAGATGAAGCTGAGGTTAGGCATTTGGATTTCAGGTCCATGGTGCTCAAGAGAGAGGGTTTTTTTTTTTTTTTTTTTTTTTTTTTTAGGGGGGGGTTTTCTTCTTTTTCCCCCGGGGGGGGGCAGAGGTGGGGGGGTAGGCGCACCTACGCCCGC